TTTTAAAAATTCGTAGTTGTTTAGAAAAAAAAAAAAAAAAAAAAAAAAAAAAAAAAAAAACCAGGACAAGATGACTCCAAGTAACCTTCATCATGAAATTTTAAGTAAGACACATCATGCAATAGCCGGACTTGCCTATTAACAAATTATTACCTCTTAGTAACAATTTGTGGGGACATGTGAGAATCTTTCTTAACTTGTTTTATGCCCAGAGCAATTTTATCTAATACATTTCTTCCTACAGATGGTAGATGTTGCCATATATTGTGTTCAGTGGAAGAAAGTAACCATAGCATCCTAATGCTAAATGATGCCACGGTCATATAAATTCTCTGGACATCCCAGTAGGACATTCCAGGAGGCGATGGGCATGACAGCACCATTCTACAAATGGAATAGTAGTTAAGAATCAGAACTAGAAAAGCTAAGTTTAACTGACCTAGGGACACCAGTCTAATCTTTAAGGAAAAACTAATGCCATCAAAATACTTTTTGGTTTATGCAGATAAAATCACCAGCCACTTGCCTGAAATTTTTATTTTCTATGGAACAGATAACATGTTAGGCCAATAGTTTTCAAACATTTTTCATCTCAATCCACACTAAAAATTACATTTTACATCACAGTCAGACACGCAAGCATGTATAACTAAAACAAATCTTCAGGCAACAAAACTTGCACTTAATAAATATCACGGACTCTAATATCTTCTCTTATAATTCTTTTCTGTTTCATTCCTTTCACACACAAAAAAATGTTCTTGACTCTTTAAACTGATTTCATGATTCTCTGGATCATGACAAGCAGCTTAAAGACACCAGTATCAGTCACAAAGTTTTGTTAACTATTTGAGAATATTTAAATTTTTCTATGGAGTCTAATCAGTTCTTTCTTTTACTCAGAGTTATTCGAACAAGAAAACTAAGACAAAATATTAAATAACATCTGTCCATTTGAAATATTTGCAGAGATGTTGCTTTTCCTCCCTGGGTAATTAGAGGCAGAATTCGAACAGAAGAAGGATGTTATAAGAAATAAGCCACACAGGAAAAATCATTCTAAAACTGAATTTCCAAACTGAATTCCCATTTGGGTGAATATTTTACTTTATTTTTTAAAGCTCTTGGGGGGTTTTAAATTATTATTCTAAAAGTATTTGAATAGTATTTAATGCAAAAAGTTTAAGGTGGGGCATATTACAGTGATTTTAGTTGCCACCGGGCTGATGAACAATTTCGAATAAAATGTGAACCCCTCTGGATGTGACCATGCTCACTTTGTAATTATTAGCAAGACAGTAAATAATCTGCTAAGGAGCAGCCTCATTAGTGCCCATTGAAATGCAGTGGCATTAATTTGCAATAAAAGAACTGAAAATTAAATGGGAAAGAAAATAGTTTCTGGAGTCCACCATGAGGTTACAGAATTCACATCTTACTAATGCCTTCCTTCACATCAGGGCGTTTAAAATGTTGTGTGAGTTAGATTTAATCACTATATTTTTTTTATCCCTTCCATTATTAAAAAAAAAAAAGGTAGACAGAAGAAATCCTTTTTCTATTTCCATTTTAACCCTGAATTAAAACAAGTGAAATTAATTTGAAGTATGCTATCTTTTTAAAGTTTTGCTCATTGTCTTTTGGGTAGTAAGTCAGCCTGGCCTTGCTTAGCTGTGGGGATGCTCTAAACTCCTCAAAGCGGGCTGAAGGTGTACGTTCGGATACCCCAAGAATCTGCCCTTCAGTATCCTCTAAGGCCAACCTGCACCTTAGCCCTGTTTCTTCTGCTATAAATATCTCTGGAAACAGAACACTGAATAGAAAGCAGTCCACAGCTTGCAATGCACAAGGGTTTGGGGCAAGACCGGAAGCAAGTACAGACACCAGTGCACCATCAGTAAGCGCCTCATTCAGCGCACAGGCAGGTGGGCGCTCTGCCGCCTCACACCCAGTCCAGGGTATCCCTGTCCTGCCACCGACAGGGGCACAGGTATTCACCAGAAACGCCCACCTAGGCCGTCGGTTCCAGGCGCGTCAGGAAGAGCAGGGGGAAACTGTCAAAGGGAAACTAGAAGAAAGGAAGAGAGGAAGAAAGAACGATCTGTCCTAGGAGAAAATGAAGATGAGGACACAAAACATTCACCACTGAAGTCACGCAGTGGTCTGTGTCCTGGGCTGCCAGCACCTGCTTCCTCACTGACTGCAGGGTGCAGAACCCAGCTGACCCCGCATGCCACTCAGGGGCATTCTCTGCCTGGTAGGCCAGACATGAAATGCAGCCGGCAGGAGACTGTTTTAAAGCACTCCGTGCTTCGACATGGCATGTTTTACACTCACAGGGTACCTCGACATTTCCTTCTGTCAGAAGTCACCTGGCAGCAATCGCTCCGACAGGGACCCAGCCAGTAAACTGAGAAACCAGAAACTTGTCGAGACCCATTCAACTCCTGTTTCGCTCTTCAGGGAAGCGCGGTCAATTCTAAGGCGCTGCAACTACGCTAGGGAGGCGGAGGAAAGTGGGTGAAAGGAATCACTTCCCCAGAAGTAATCCTTGTAATAGCTCGCATATCCCCACTCCGAAATTCTAAATCAATGGCTAAATCAAAATTGTAAAAAAAAATAATAATCATCATGATAAATACAACTCCTGAGCTTCGCTAACCCCAAACACTTCCAGCTTAATTACCAACGCAGACCTTTACCAGAGACTCAAAGGGCCTCGTGTTTACTTTGGGGTGTCGTCCCCCACAAGTAACTGCTGCTTTGTACCGTTTTCCAACGTCTCTTTACTTAGAAAGCACGCGGGATCTACCTCTTGCACAGACGGTAAGGGGGTGGAGAAAATTTCCTGTAAGCTGCCAACCGAGAGAACGCGGGATCCGCAAACGAGCCCGCGGGCTGGGCCGCGCGCCGGCGCCGGGCTCCCCGCGCGCATCCTGGGGTGGCGCGTTCCGCGGCTTCCGCGGCGGG